GCCAAAAATCTCTGCCCCTCAGTGCCGGACTGCCCGCATCTGGCTCCTGAGGAGAAGATGCGGCAGTTCAACTACCGTCTTCGCGAGCACGTCTGGGCCGAAACTTCGCGCCTCGAGTGCAACCAATTCAAGGTGCGCGCGAGAACGCTGTTCCTGGCGGGGGGGGGGGGGGGGGGGGGGGGGGGGGGGGGGGGGGGGGGGGGGGGGGGGGGGGGGGGGGGGGGACTCAGCCGCTGGGCACCAATTTCCCAGCCGTGATGGTAGGGCCCTGGGCTCTTGCGTTCTCGCCACCCGTTTCTCGAGAGGGTTGACACTCCAATGCACTCGGGCCGCCAGGGCGGCGGGGGCTGATCCCTCAGCGGGGGTTTGTCCCCCTGGCGGCGGGCGCCCAGAGGGGCACACCCCCTATCCGGCCGCCTGCGCAGCATGGGCCCAGCTACCCCCCTGGAAAGAGTTTGAGCTTGGATAACACACCTCAGAGCCTGGGTGCCTCTGTGGGGGGGGGGGTCTCAAGGGCCGCGCGTCTGTGGTGCCCCTTGTTCCTGTGCTACGCCCAGGGGAGAATGGCCGCACATGGGCGGCTCCGAGTCCCTCGGCGGTAAGCTCGGCCGCCCTCGAGAGAGGCGCACACATTGCGAAGGGCAGGCAGACCAGAGGCGCTCCGGCTGGGCTTTTGGCCAGCCGGGCATGCAGGGGTGGGACTTGGTCGAGGGCGCCTCGTCTCGGTGCGAGGGAGCAGGTGAAGGAGAGAGAGAGAGAGAGAGAGAGAAACGGAGGGCGCCCTGTGCATCGCGGCGGCCAGGACACCGACAGCCGAAATATCTCCGTGTGACACCCGGCACAGCAGTGTCCTGTTGTCGCGTATCTCCCCGGGCGCCATTGGGGGGCGCTGGTGGAGGGCATGTGCGTGTGTCGGCGGGTCTCTCCCGCGTGCCTGTCTCGCGGGTGTCGCCAGCGTCCCAGCCGGGGGAGGGGGCGCGGCGGGGGAGCAAGAGCGGCGGGGGGGGGGTTGCCTCGCTCTTCGCGGCTCGGTCTCTTTTCCGCCCCCGGCCCCGGCCGCGACCTCGCGGGTTATGAGGCCCCGTGTCGGGTCCCGAGCAGACCGGGGCGAGGCCTCTGAAGTTGTCTTTTTCCAGTTTTGGCTCCTGTCCTCTCTGTAAAAACTTCTTGATTCGCAAAGTACGCGCCTGCTGCGGTTCTCCTTCTTTTTGTTCCACCCTCGTCGCGCCGCGCGCACTCGTCGCCGCCGTCGCTCGCCACACACTCACCCGCTCCCCTCTCTCCTCCTTCCCCTCCCCCCTCCCCCCCCTCCCCCGCCCCGGCGGCTGCGCACACAGAATGGTCGGCACCAAGGGTTACCGCTCCGGCACTCGTCACCTCTTCGCCAAGAAGTTCCGCAAGCATGGCGTTCCTTCTCTCTCCACCCACCTGAAGGTCTACAAGGTCGGTGATATCGTCGATGTCGCTGCCGATGCCTCCATCCACCGCGGTATGCCCCACAAGTTCTACCACGGCAAGACTGGTGTCGTCTTCAACGTCACCAAGCGCGCTCTGGGCCTCATCGTCAACAAGCGCCACGGCAACCGCATCATGCCCAAGCGCATCAACGTCCGTGTTGAGCACGTCAAGGTTCGTTCACACCCCCCATCCCCCCCCCCCGGCCGGCCCCTCCCTTCTCGCCCTCCATGTGTCCGCCCGATTCTCACCACGCACCTCTGCTCGCCCATCTGCACACTTGACCACACTCCCCCCATTTGGCCGTGGTCTTGTGTTGCACTGGTGCTTGCTGGGTTTTGGTCTTCCCTTTCCTATTTTGAATCCGGCCATCCTCTCTCTCTCTCTCTCTCTCCCCCGTCCCGGCGTGTCTCTCTTTGGATCTCGTTCGTCTCCCCCTTCCCCCCTGTTCTTCTCGTGTATCCTTTGTTCGCCCACCGCCTGCGCTCGTTCGCGTGTGTATGCGTCTCTCTTCCTTCACCCGTTCGTCGCGTGGCTGGGACTCTCCCCTCTCGTGTATCTTCCCCTGTATATCCCACCCTCCCTCCCTTTGTGGCGCGCCCCCCTCCTTCGGCACATTCATAGCACTCCAAGTGCCGCGACGACTTCCTCAACCGCGTCAAGGCCAACGAGGCCGCCAAGGCTGAGGCCCGCGCCAAGGGCGAGATCATCCAGCTCAAGCGCCTGCCCGCTGGTCCCACCCCCGCCCACACCGTCGAGGTCAGCGAGGACAACCTCGTCACCTTCGGTGCCGTCCCCTACGAGCTCCTCATCTAAGTGGCCATCATCAGCCGCTTCTGACGAGGAGGGGTGCATGCCTGCCGCGGGGGTGTGCCCGTGTGCTGGCGCGCTGGGCCTTGCTGGGCCCCCCCCTGTGCGCCACGTCTCGCGCCACCCCCCGGGCTGCTGCGTTCTCCCCGATGCCCGTCCTTGTTGGTGTGTCCGGGCTCCTCAACTGGGTCCTGCGATGCAGCCACACCTCTGCGCATCCCCTCGCGGTCGATGCTCCTGGTGGTGGCCCTCTGCGCCGCCGTCCACGTGCTCCTCGGTTTCCAATACATCCACAAGCCTAGATTTTGTCCCCTTCTCGCCCGTGTGTATGTGTGCGCGTGTGTCTTTTTCCTTGCGGCGAGAAAAGCAGGAGACCCTCACCAAGGGCTGGCGGCCCTGTGGGCGTGCTCTGATGATATGTGACCGCGGGCGGCGTTCCGCGTGCCGGCTGGTTTTCTGTGATTCTGGAGCCAGGGTGCAAGCGCGGGGGGGGGGGG